CTAATTGCTGCATAATCTGTATCTGCTGACAGTAATTGCCCACTCAGATCATCAAGTATATAAATAAGGAATTAAATTATTATTATTATTATTATTATTATTATTATTACTATTACTGTATGTAATGTTTGTCCATAATGTAATTACTCGTATCTACCCTGTGCTCTGTCTGTAATTGGCCTTGCGGCTGTTGACTCGGCACATAAATAATAAAGAATTGAAAGGAATTACGCTGTTGAGTTAATATGCAAATAAATAAGAATTTAATTAAACTGTTATATAGTTTCAAATATTATATTCTTTAATTTGCATCGTTATCAAATATTATTCGGTTGATAAATTTAAGGATAATGTAACGAGGGTGGCAAGTGGCAAGTGGCAAGTGGCACAAGTGGCAAGTGGCAAGTGTGGAGAGACGAGAAATGCAAACAACACCCAGAAGACCTGACCTGAGATTGAACCCGGGCAGCCGAGGTGGGAAATTAGCGAATAACCACCTGAGGCACAACCCTACTATTTTCCTTAAAATCGATAAATTGTCATTTGGTTTTAATGTACAATTTTGTTTGTATTCGACTGATATGAACGGAAATTAAATTAACTCGGCAAGGTTTGCAGAGCTCTGACACTAGATATCCACCGAATTCACACATGAGGGGACAGACACGATCCCTCCATTATTTTTCTCTTTGTGCAAAGAACTCACAAGAAAGAGAAACAATATTTCTCTGATGACATTAAAGCCGGTACCATAACATCCACAAGAAAATGTGCACTGAAATCATACTAGTACCTAACCACTCCCTGTGATCAAAGCGCTTTTCCCTGACAACTACATGAACACCCTTCCTTGATTATACTAAGTAATTTGAGCTTCTAACAAAGTAATTTGCTTCCAATATTTATAGATCAAAGCATTTTGCCCTCCTGATATTCTGTTACTATCAACTAATTTCAAACTCACAAGCTGATATGTGGGCGCTGAAAATCATTGCGATGCTGATCACAATATTCTACGAAATAGCTGACCCAAAAGGTTGCGTAATATATATATTTTTTTAATTTCTTAGAGTGGGGTGAGACTGAGTCCACTTGGTACGTCGGCCACTATTTTGCCTATTGTGCCAAACACGGATGATAGATGATGATAGTGATTGTGGAGCTCTCGGTGGAACAAGAATTCGCAGAAGAAACCAAAGTACCCGTAAAAAATACCTGCCTCAGTGTCACTTTGTCCATCACAAATCCCATATGATCTGGCCTGGGATCGAACCGGGTCTGCCGCTGTGGGAAACCAGAGACTAGCCGCCTGAACTCTGGTACCACCGAAGGCTGGATGGAATAAATATTTTATTAAAGTAGTTTAAAATATATGAATACAAGACAAAACAGCGGTAGGACGTCTTTATAATTAAAATATTTGTGTTACGAATAACGTAGAAATAAGTTAAAGATGTGGAATTCGGTCGACGAACACACAGCCTTCATAATGTAATGTATTGTCCGAGAGATGGATATAAAATTTAGAGGTTCCTCAGAAAACCCCTAGCATAATATGATAGAGTTGTGATTAATGAAATATTGCTACCATCAGAAACGTCTTCAATAGAAGTTCAATAATAATGCGTAGTTGAACAGCAATTTTACGTCCAAAGACTGGAATAGCTTCAGAGCCCTGACGATTACTACTGAATCCGATTTCGAAGCTTATTAAAGACGCTGAAGAGCTTCAGTGCTTTGAAGTCCTCTCTCTATTCCTGCTTTTAAGACTCTTGTTGTGAGATGAGTTTCACTTTGAACCTTCTTGATTGCAGCTCCACCGGCAGTAGGTGATGATGATATCTGCGACAAAGACCGGAAGTACTTGGATTCATGCTTACAGAAACTTCCTTCACTTCTGTCACGAGATAGCACAACGGGGATTCCCAGTTCTAAGAAGTCTGTGGAACAAGCATGCAAGTAATAACTATTCTTTACTTTATACTAGTTGTTTTTAACACTAAACCGAATTAAACTTTGCGTTTAATTGTCGAATCTTCACACCATGAGGCAGGGTCTTCCTTGAAAAGCTAGACAGTTACTCAGTTATGTAGGATTTGAGGCTCTCACAAGGGTGATTATGAAAAATCTTGCTTTGTTATATAGTTTCGAGTAGTCCATTGAAAGTCAACAGAACTTGACTTGCTTGCATGCTACGTGCTTCATGCTGGTTTCATGGTGGCTTATTTTCCGGTCCTGAGAATGGAGAAGACATATTCCTCCGAAACGTCGGTTGGCTTGCAATAGACTGCATGATGTTATATCAAAGACGATAGTACTATTCAGTTGCTCAGTTGAGCAAGAAATTCTCTGCTTTTAAGTAATCGGAAAGCGTTTGCGTATTGAAATTACTGGCTTGTTCGTCTAGTTTATCCGCTCAATTTACAGTATGTAGCACATACGTGCAGAGCAGAAATTGATGACGAATAAATGACACTCCCATTTCCAGAACCTTCCACCCCCTTTTCCCTTCTTATAATATTACTCAGCATACAGCCTTAGACACCTCAGTGGTCTCTTTCCTTAATTTTTTTCAGGCCAAAATATTGCAAGCAATTCACATTTCCTTAGGGCTACTACATACAATACAAATCGTGAAACTTCTTTTCATTTAATTAAAATTGCATGACGTGTTTATGATCAAAGAATATATCCTCATATTTGTAAGGCTACTTGTTTATACGCGGTAGCAAATAAACTAAAGTTTAAGTGGTTCTGATATCTTGTAATCTCCCATGTCTTACGAACTTCAGTGCATTTAATTTACACCAAATTGTTTTCTGTCGATTTTGCTCAGTGAATTTCTTCCTATTATTCTCTCCATTTGCCTTTGCATTTTCTTCTATATCTCCAGTTTTCACATTTTTTGTTTTTCCGCTTACCGCCTTTCGCTTCCATTCTGAATTCCCACATTATTCTCTTCAAAGGCTATACCATTACTCTGCACAATTCTTCCACTTGTTCTCCCTGTTTTTCCTTACAATGTGTGTTCCATGTTGTAATTCTTCAAGTGAAGCTATTCATCTGACCATTCCTCGCATTCTTTCCTCTCGAGTGTGCTTCACTTAATTCGGAATAATTTATTTCATATAGTATGTCCAGAGTCACTTATCGAGTTCCTATTTCCTTCTGGGCATGACATTCCCTTGCATATGAGCTTTCACATCCGCGAGGATTAAACTTCCCAAGGAAGGGCTTCACTGTGTCATATCTCAGAAGACAGTAATCTTAAATTTTAAGATCTGTCGCGAACTAAGCCTCACTGAAATTGTTCTCATTCCCTCAGTTTAGATCCGCAAATTATTCTACTAGTATTATTAAAATATTTATCGTATTCAGTATGAATGTATGCATGTTCATATTTTCTCGCCTCATAGTGGCTGGTGTGATTATATTTATTCCATTTTTATTATTGCCTATATTACTTCGGTTTGTGGATCTTATGTTCTTTATTCTGTATGTACTCAACAGGTTGTTTACTTGGAGTGATGTATTTTATATTTTCGTACGATGACATATGTACAGGACGCTCCCTGTGTTGATACTGTCGCTATGTTGTAGCAGTTCAGTCTAGCTACATAACATACCAAATTTGTGAAGGTAGATTTAAATTTATTATAATCATACTAGGATGGTCTTAATTTAAATTAATTATGACGAGTATACTATATAATTTGTAATCTTCACGAAATGTTGCTAGGTCGATCAAGACAAGAACGATGATACTGGAGAATTTAGCAAGCATGGGACAGGTAATTAATGCATACAGGGTTTTAGTGGGAACACATGAAAGGAAGAATCACTTGGAAAACTTAGGCACACATGTGAGGGCATACTCTAATAGGATCTGAGAAATCGGTTGCAGTGTGTAGACAGGATTCTTATGGAACAGGAAGGAGACTAGCGTGGAAATTTTATGAATACGGTAATAAAGCTCTGGGTACCATAAAAATTAAGAGTTTCTCTATGAGTTAAGCTACTGTCATCCCCTCAAGAAGTACTGCGCTTCATGGAATTAATTTGAATTCACGTAACTCTTCACGATATCCAGAGAGAAGTAGGATACATTGATCTGAATATCATGTCTGAGACACTGAAGAAAATAGCACAGACATTTGATGTACCGAAATTTAAGTTGACTTTATTGTTTCCGTGAATGGAGAATATTTTGATGGAAGAGAGATGAAGTAACAGGATGTTGGAGAAAACTGCATAATGAGAAGCTTCATAACTTGTACTCTTCTCCAAGTACAATTAGAATCATCAAGCTAAGGAGGATGAGGTGGGCAGAGGAGGTAGAAAAGGGAGAAGGGGAATGCAAACAGGGTATTGGTGGGAAAGCCAGATGGAAAGAGACCACTGGGAAGACTAAGACATAAGCGGTTGGGCGCTAATAAATTGGATCTTAGAGAGATAGAATGGGATGGTATGGATTGGATTGGATTGATCTGGCTCAGGATAAGGGCCAATAGAGGGTTCCTTTGAACACGGTAATGAACCTTCAGGTTTCATAAAATGCTGGGAAATTCTTGAGTAGCTGCAAAATTGGCGGCTTCTCAAGAAGGGCTCAGCTCCACGAGTGAATGGATGAAGGGAAAAATTTTAAATCGAGTTGCTCATTCCATCATATTATTGCTAATCCACATGGCAGGGAATTTGCATTGAAAACTTTTCTGTCATTTAGTCTGTTTCTTTGTTTTTATTTTCCTCTGCACACAGACAATTCGGAGCAAGGGAAGGGATTCTTCCTTTCCAATACAATTTGCATTACACTATTGATTTCTTACTCTGACTGAGGTCACATTTGCACCCATAATACTCCAGTTCATTCTATTCAAACTTAGTATACAATATACTGAAATTGTCCACAACCGAGAACAGAAAATGAAGTTCTCTGGGCGTTATTTCAAGGAAATAAATGAATTGAACGCATAAAATATGCTCTGTCTCTCTCTGTGTACTCGTGGTTTTACTTCGAAGCGATATGCCTTCAATTATAGTGCGAGTTTTTCTGTGTATGTTGAAAATACTTTGTCAGGAAAACTAATGAAGTAATTGGCGGATAGCTAATCAGAATGCAAGAGGTCGTAATATCATGGAATAAATTCTGGGCCTCTTCTGGTCGTGAGGATTAGAACAGCTCCATCTTCATCTCTAACGTTTTCTAATGCAGACATATTTATGATATGTCTACTGCGTTGAGAGAAACTTGAAGATCCTGTTTTCAGGCGTTCTTTTTTTTTTCCAAATGTTCCATTCATTCCTTTTGATTGCGTTTATCATAGTGTCTCTTCTGTCATGTTCAGTTCTGTAAGATTTTCACTACGTTTAGGAACCCTGATTATGTATCGTAGGGAAGACAAGGAATGCCGGATCTATCCCCCAATGACTTTTCTTCTGTTCCCGAAGATAAAGGAAGTACTGAAAGGAAAGCATTTTGATGACATTGATGACATCAAGAGTAATATGCAACGGCAGCTCTGAAGACCATTAAACAAAATCAGTTCCAAAATTGTTTTAAATTTGTAGACTAGGCGCTGATGTAGGTAGATAGCCTCCAGATGGGAGTACTTTGAAGGCGACCACAGTGATATTCAGCAATGAGGTATGCAGCACGTTTACCGCGATGCGTTCGCGAACTTTATTGTCGGTCTCGTATAATTTCTTTTTTCTGACTACGGAAATTACTTTCTGTGTTTCAAAGAGAAATAATCTGACTTCATCTAAGGAGCATACAAAAGGCAGGAAGATGTCATTCAGCCACCAAACCTTGTACAGTGTTAAAGTTAGACTTCATTTCTCATAAAAGAAATTCGAACCATCTGCGAGTGAGTGAATAGTGATCGGAAGATTTTTTACGACTGTCGACGAAAATTTCATTGCTTTTAAAATCAGAAGCAAATATGGAGCTTAAATATTCACAGTGGATTGCCAAATTCAAGGATTAAAACACAAGTCGATCTATATGATTTATATTTCAGTGATTCTACAAATCAATTTCTTATAATTATCATAGCCTGTTATAGACAGAAAATTATTTTCTTCCTTATGTCAGATATGCTCCTCACTTCCAGTATCTGTAGCGATTCAGAAGTACTTAAGAATATCACATCCGTTTGTACTTCGAAAATAAGTGAAGTACTACGCGCTTCTTCTAATAGATGAATATGTTTTGCTGAATGAAACAGAGCTTCCGAGATTAGGCTGAAATAGTATTTACGGAAGTTCCCTCGTCATAAATAAAATTAACTGTTCATAGTCTGAAGAACTCTTTAATAACTGCTCCATATATTGCCAACTAAAGAAAATTCACAGCTGTGGGTGCTCCTATCTGAACCTCATTATTTAGAATTTTACATCATCATCATCATCATCATCATCATCAGTAATCTGTCAGACGACAGGTCCACAGTCTCTTCCAAAACAATTCCTCCACTTAATGCGATCTTGAGCTCTCTCCTTCAAATGATAGCATCCTCTTCTGTCCCCAAGGTCATCTACCATCTTCTTACGTCTTCTTCCTCGTCTTCTTGTCACTTCTATCCGCCCTCTATAACTTCTTTTA